ATTGTATGTCAATTTATAATAGTGAATATGAGTTCAAACAAGACACATCATGCTAGGGATTTATATTGGAATTTGTAATTAAGATGCAATAAATTTAAAATTTGACAATATATTCAACGTTTACTAGAATAAACAGTATCAAGTCGACCAATTTATTACCAACATTTCCAACAATTCCAAGGACTTTATGCATGGTTGTTGCTAAGCCGCAACCGCGATGCTACACAGTTCGTTGGCTCTCTACATTTGACGGTTCCACGTGACTCGATCTCTGGTTTTGATAATCAAATTAATGTGTTCGTTCTGAGCTTGTTTGTGATCCTATATATTCCCTCCGTTTCACAATGTAAGTCATTCTAGCAATTCCAACATTTATATTGATGTTAATGAATCTAGACATATATATTTATTTAGATTCATTAACATCAATATGAATGTGGAAAGTGCTAGAATGACTTACATTGTAAAACAGAGGAAGTATCTTCTTTTCTCACCAAACAGGTACATTACATTGAATAAGAAAAAAGTGGTCATAACCATACTGTTACAATAAAGAGATACATGAGACATTCCTGTTGGAGTTTTAATTTACATAATCTCAATTATTTAGCCCATACATGGTCATCTTTGCTTAGTGCGGAAAAACATGATCTAAGCCATCGATGTTGAATTAGTTGATTGATGTTCTTAGATCATGCAGTTCTAGTTTTTTTTTTAACTTTTTTTGCGCCAACAGAGAGATGGAGGCGCCGTCTTTTTGACCGTTGTTATTGATGTCTTGCTTGAACTTGACGACATTAGGGCCTCCACCGACGTAAATAACTTAAACCATGCGGTCTTTAATTTATGAGAAAATATTGAATGGCAACAATGGAGTTGGTTCATATGAAATTATTATCTGCATGGTCTTTAGTTTATGAACAATTATTTACTATGTGTGTTTCTTTTTTTAAATATTTAGCATGTCTTACTTATGGAGTTTATAAACTTTACGTAACATTTTTTCTTGTATATTGTAGATGTATTTATGGATTTTAGAACATATTAATTAAATATATTTTCTGTTAAAAATATGGATAATACGACTATTTCTAATTAAAGACAGATTTCTATTTACGTGTACACCCCCTCTGTTTTTCATATGATTCCTTATTTTCTGCTAAAAATGAATTTACTTTGAAATAACAACAGAGCTATATAAATATAATTAGTATGTGTAGATAATTTATAAATATTTAGGCACCATGGACTAAAGTACACTTTTGTTATGCCAATTTTGAAGTATATTTTTATTGTATTATTTTTCATATAAAAGTTTACTATGATTTATGTTACCTAATTAACTAAACTTAGTATGATATACCCGTATACCATGCTTATTTAATAAAAATCAAAGGGAAAAAAACATGGCATGTACTCTCTCCATTCTTTTACTTATTATTTAGGGTGCAGTTTGCAAAATGTAGAATCTATACATGATGGTAATAGAATCAATATTTTAGGTTATCCCCATATGATCTGAATAGACTGGACCCTAAATGCTAAACATATTTATTGGACGATATAATTCATGTCATTAAGTTTTTCTCATGATTTTTCATAAGTCCCGAACGGTATGCAAAGCCCAAAGATATGACTGATATTGTAAATCTAATTGAGTCGTGCATATTTGTGAACATATTTGTGAACTGATGTGGCACAAACATACTGAACCCTACATAGTAAGCATATTTATGTGATTCTATTACTCATATCATTATTTTCTTTTCATGATTTTTCAAAATTCTTGAATGCCACGCAAAGCCCAAAGATATGACATGTTTCTTGTTGATATTATAAATCTAATTCAGTTGTACATATTTGTGAACCGATAATGGATATATACTGATATATATACTCTATATTGTTATCTTTTTCATAATTTTCATGTCTGTTAGGATTACATGCAAAGAATAAAAATACAAACTAAAATACAATTTTATTTGACATGTTAAAAATATAATTAATATAGATCTTAAATTATTAATTTAATGGTAAATAATATTAATGTTGAATTTTTTTTAAAACATTGTAGAACTAATTTAGTTATGCATGATGTGATATATGATTTTATAACATATGTTTTCTTTTTTTTGTCCATTATATATGCAAAGGGTCAAACTACGGCCCAAAACAATTACTTTTTATAAATGAAAATATAGTCCATATTGTGGGGGTCTCTCACTGTTTCTGGTAAAAAAAAATAGTCAACATTGTTCTTAAGTTATTGATTTGATTTAATTGTACAAAATATAACAATGTGATTGAATAAAAATTATATGTATAATTTAAATGTTATTTCAACTAATACAGGGACAGAAGTAAAGGAGCGGGAGGATGGTACCCATAGCTACACTTAACATGGGTAATTATCCTTTCAATGGTAGATGATGTTTCCGTCGACAGCGATGCGCCGGTGATAATTTTGTTAAACTCAAAATATACCGGTGCAGTCTCTCAGAGATGCTTATAGAGGTAGGGTGTACATGTATACATGCATATGAGTAAGTACACGTGTACATGTGAGTACCTACGTTTATATTATGTTTCTTTTTTCATGCATTACCCCCTTGAAAACGATTAATTAGCAACTAACTGACAGAGTTAGTTACTTTCCTAAAAATATCAATAAACAAATTTCCGGCGGCAAAGCACGCGGGGTCGAGGCACCTCGGACTAAGTGCTAAAAATTCAACTGACAGCACCCAAAAACCTACAATGTTAGTATATATTGTAAAATCAAAGGGTATTTCATTCTTATTCTATAATAAACAATTGGCATCTGAGATTATTAGTTTTGATATTTGGAGATTATTGGTGAAGTGGTTTTGGAGATGATTGGATTTTACAGGTGATGGATAGGTTTGATAAGTCTGACGGTTGCGGTCAGACCGGCTGGGTAAGGCCAATCAGACGGAGTATAGTGAGCAGTCAGGCCAGTCAACCCGTGGTCTGACCAGCCGACTCTGTGTCGGTTTTGGTTTCGGGTTGTTTCGTTGGATATCCGTGGATAATTCATATATGTTTATGACTTCTAGATGAATACTATGCGTATGTAATATTGTTGTTTGCTAACAATAAGTTAAGTTGATGAGAACTATGCTCATATATGGTTTCTTGGTTGATGTATGCATAAGTGGTCTTGATGCCTCGGGAGAATGTTCCCGATGATGGATTGGAAGCCAACTTGGGAGAAGATGATGTCCACACGATCATGATATCATGCGGGATGCTTAGGCTAAAGATTAATGCACGCGGTTGGTGAAGATTCCATATGACATACGATGGAGTATTGTGTGCGTATGGGATGCGTAGTCAAATTTGGAGGGAGTCCAAATTTGGTACAATTGGAGTTTGTAAAGTTTGTTTCTTGTATGGGAAGGTTTCTTAGGAGATTAAGACTTACTGTACAAGGTTGGATTGTGGCTTTAGGCTACTTACGTCAGGTATATATAGAAAGGGAGGGGTGTTATCGTTTTTTAGAGAGTTGAGTTAAGAGAAAAAAGTTAGTGTTTTGAGTTTAGTCGAGATTTTTATGAGGAATGTTGTTGTTGCACTTTGTAAACACAGAGAGAAGTAATAAAGTTTTAATCTACTTTGAGACATCTTCAATTTGTGTTTGCTCGGATTCGCAGACGGTCAGACCGACAGGAACACGGTGGTCTAACCGGCGGCGGCGACAGGAGGTAGAGGCGATTGCAGGGCGGTTCGACTGGGAGATCAACACCGGTCAGACCGCACGACATAGGCGTTGTCAGACTAGCGGATCAACTCCGATCAGACCGATCTACATCGGATTCGAGGGTAACTTTTAATTCCGCTAAAAGTTTCGATTTTTTGGTACTGCAACCATTCACCCCTCTCTCTAATTGGCTTAGTTACTGCTATTCGATCCTACAAATATATTATCCAAAAGCCATGGAGCTTTGATATATCACTTTGTTGAAGCTAGTTACAACAGATCAGAAGATAAGCACCACTACCATGGAGTAGTATAAAAGTTGCACGCTTAAAGAAAGATCGAGAGAAGTGGCACGGTATGTTTAGAGATCTAATAATAAAGAGATGTAAGTGTCTTTCTTCTAGCTTGTTTCTGGGCACATATCGAAAAGACGATGTGTAGGTCCATCTTGTTTGATAGTGGTAAAAAAGGCGAGCTGAGAGGTGTGTTGCATTTTGTTCCCGTGGCTTTGCATCTAAAATTTTGTTCGTTGATTTTCTTTGTGAGAAATCCTAATTAATTATTTTGGTGGGACCAAACCATGCATGAGAGCCATCGTAAATTGGGAAGGAGAGGTAGGAATCTAATCTCATGGTCGAAACAAACGGGTACACCGAGTTAATTGAAAATTAATGACTAAGATATTTATTTAACTAGAAAATATACCCGTGCGTTGCAACGGGTGAATGCTACTTTAATCTTATTATTGTTATATGATTTAGATAGGGTAAAATTCACTGTGGGAATTCGCTTAAATGTTTCTTTTTAGAAAATCATGAGCTGCAATTAGAAGTACGACTTTTATCTTAAGTTAGCATGTGAGTTTTTTTAAAGAGATTTTATATACGACTCCTTCTGTATTTCCAAAAGGAAACGAGTTTAAAATCGAACTCAAACACAGAACTGCATTTCAAAAAATGAACGAACTTAAAAACCAACTCAAACATGGATGATGTACCAAAATACCTACAAAAACATTTTTAATTTTTATAATAGTAGAGATTTATTAGAGTGCCACTTGCTAGCTAGGAGCACTTAGCATGTGTTTGGTTTTGGGACTATGTGGAATGGATGAAACCACCTCTGATTTTAGGGTTAGGATGATTCCACTCGCGTGTTTGGTTTGTAGAATAGGACGATCCCAGTTTTTTGTTTGGTTGAAGGGATGAGAGAGGGATGGGATGGACACCGTTTGCAACCACCGACGACGGTCAGCCGGGCGAAGGTGCGCGACTACAACCTGACGACAAGAAGGTGGAGGAGCGGCACGAGCGGGCAAGCGGGCAGAGCAACTATGGCCGCCTCCGCCTCTGCCCTCACCTCCCTCTCCGCTACTGCCAGCAAGTGCCTCCTCCTCTCCTTCCCTGGCTCCCTCTCCTTCTCCTTCGCCTCCCATGGCCGCATCGCCGTCAGGCCCCACCTCTGCCGCGCCGAGGAGGGCGCTGTCGGCCTCGACCTTGGCCCCGGCCGTGGCCACCATCGCGGTCGTCCGGGTGGAGGAGCACGGTTGCCGCAGCCGTCCCCATCGCCGGATCCGCCCTCCCCACCACGGGATCCACCGTCGCCGAGGCCCCCACCGCCGCCGTCGCTCGATCCGTCTGCCTTCGCTCGAGCCCACCATCTCCCGAGGGCGAGCAGGGCGTCGTCACGCCATCCGCTAGTCCCAGGTGGGACGAGTTCGTCCGCAAGATTTGGCCGGATCGGTTGATCCCGGATCTGAGAGGAATATTCCTCTCCAAGGACCAACCCATCCCACTCACCCCTAAACTAAGCACTTTTAAAAGTGGGTTCGTCCCATCTCATCCCATTCTTGTAACCAAATACTACCTTAGCTTGTATGAGGGTTATCGTGGGACAAATATATATTGCCTTTCTCTACAATGCTAGTAATTTGCGTTCCACCGAGATATATCACAAACTAATACTAGGAGATCGATCGATGTGGTCCCTTGCATGCATTATTATTACCTTTAAAGAGGTAAGAAAATAACTCTACTAAGCATGTATTTGATTAAGGGTATCCTGAGCTCGATCAGTACTAGTTACAGACCTTTCTATCATGTAATCAATTAACTCTCATCATTAATTCAAATCCCTCTGTCAATGCATCTTGATTCGGGAAGACGATGTCCTGGAATGTCCTACATAAAGGACAGGTCACTAAATGATTAATTAAGATGAGATCACAG